TCTCTTACTTCTATATTTCAATTAGGATTTTTAATTTAACAAGGATTGATTTGTCGATCATCGCGACCCAACGATCGCGTCGAGTCGGATCAAGAGAAACCAGAAAACCGCGTTTTACAAATGATCGTTATTCCGTTCAGGAATTTACGAAATATTCGGTGGCGTTTACGGATCTCTCCGGACTCGCGATGATCTACAACGTTTTAACGTGAATCACAATATTAAGCAACCGATGTATTCTCGTTATGTAAGGACTGTCTATTGAGAGTGTAAAATATTTTAACGCCGTTTTAGCGAATTCGAGGCTATGCCATCGATGGGCTTAATGTAAGAATATTTGAACTTTTCGAGGGTTTGTTTTTTATTCCCGCACTAGAACTAAGGCTGCACTAGAACTGAACTAGTGCAAGTCAGAACTGACGAGTATAAGCGTGCAGTTAAGAAATAGAAAACGATTTAGTGCGAAGAAAGAAATGGCGTCCCATATTATCTGTATAGAAATATTAAATTCGTCTTCTGATAAAGACAAATTAGTTATTAAAAATTATTAATTACTTATTCAATAAAGTATGACTTTTATGGTATTTTGTGCTATTATATAATTGAAATGTAAATATTAAAGGTCTCTTTCAGGTCTCAAGAGAAATTCTTATTTTCACATAGTTACTGTTTTAATATCACTTAGTTATGACTGTAAATATTAAATTTAGATGGGCAATCTTAATACCTTCGGAAATACATGTAACGTATCCATTTTCATTTACGAAAATATTTCCTAGGCTATCTTTTTTTATAATTGCTATTTCTTTATTGTTTGTCTTTTCTACTTTTTCTTCCTCTGATTATTTTCTTCATACGCATTTTTGGATAATATGTATTGGGTATGAAATGCCAGACGGAGGCGGAAAGAATATTGTGCAAAAGTCCGATTTATTAAAGTGTCTTTTATTCGTGATTTAAGAACACATCTGTACACGTTGCTGCCCGTCGAATCTTCCGTCCGTTATTCCATATTAACTCTCTTCCCTATACTTTTCTCCTTCGAGATTATTCTTGAATAACAAATATCTTAATTCTTACAAACAAATACAGTTTCGGAGAAAACTGCTTGCTATTATTGTTTGTCTCTTGTCTATTGTCTTGATCGTTAAACGTTTCGAATTATGTTTTTCAACCCGCAGGAATTCAGCATTCATAGAGACTTAAAAATAACAATCATGGAATATCTATATCTAGTTTCAAATAAAAAGAAATTATTACAAGAGAACATAAAAAAATAGATCTGTTGAGCTGATATCGGATATGAATACATGCAACGTTTTCATATTTGCGTGTATTTAGTGCGATTTTCTGAGAATAGATAATTTGGCGAAATCCAAATATTGCCGAAAAAATGTGGCCGTGAAAATCATAATGATATAATCGCCACAACATAAATCAAATTTTAATATAAAAGCTTTGTAATAAGAAAAAATAACTTCAAAAAAATTTCAAGCATTTGTAAGACATTAAACAGTATAAATTTAAGTATAAATTTAAGTATAAATTTAAAAACAGATTTGTAATATTTATATATAATATTATTAATTATTATGCATTAGTGTCGGACTTTCTAATCTACAAATTTTCTACAAATTTAATATTTAATGAATACTGTTTTCTAAACAGTTTTCTAAACAGTAAATGCCGATAATTTTAACTTGCATATCTCAAGTACTATGCATTAAAATATAACAATTAAAATATATATAATATTAAAATATAAATATATAAATATATAAACAATGAAATACTAAGATTTATACTCTAAGAAAGTTTCTACTTTTGTACTTATTGATTAATATCTTATAGTGTTCGAAATTACCGCTACTGATACTTGAATTTCGTTTACCCTGCATTGCTTGCATTGACTCTAAATTCAGTGCAATCAGTTCAATGAACTCATGCACTAAGTTCTGTTGCATTGAAATAACGAACAGTATCGTTGATGTCATTTCGGGAATAGAAAACGTTTTAGTGTACACTTCTTGCACTAGTTCAGGAAGTTCAGGAATAAAAAACAAACTTCGAGAATCTACGGAGAACGCAAAAATTTTACAGCAAATAAAAAACAGAGCCTTCGCCGTATTACTTAAATGTAATGATTACACTAAGTTACAAAAAATATTTTTATTAATTATTTTGAACTAGACAAGGTGTCTCTTATAGATTTTTGGATGAAAATAATGGCCGCAAGCCAAATTTTTTCAGAATGTCAGATTTTCAAAATAATTAAATACGCAAAAATAATTGAATATGCAAAAATACACTTTTTGTGATATTTGAAGACTTTTTATAAAAAAGGTTAATTCTGATAAGAAATAAATGTATTATTTATCCTTTAAAATACACTTCTTTTTTATTTTTCAACTTCTATATTTTTTTAGTCATATGATAAAGTATTTAATACAGAATTTAATACAGAACTTTTACTAAGATAATATAGACTTTTGTTATTTTAATAAAATTCTGTATTAGAATTTTTTTATAATATGATTAAAAAGTAAAATATCAAAATTAAAAGAATTTTAAATAAACAATATTTTCATGATTTCTGATCAAAATTTCAAGATAGCAAATCTTTTTTATAAAAGTTAAATATCGTAAAAGAGCCATTTTTACATATTAAATTTAGAAATCTGCTGGAAAAACTTTTGGCTTGTAGCATCGTTTTCAGCATTCAAAAATCTATGAGAAATTCCTTGTCTGTTTCAAAATAATTTCTTGCTGTAAATTAGAATTATTTATCGATAAAATAAGTCCAACTAATTATGAACTATGCTCGTTTCACTTCGCAATTAAACTGATGAATCCAATAAATATACCGTGATAGTTATGAAATTATTCATCATCGTAAATTCGCTTTTATCTCGACATACATAAACGCGGGCGTTTTCTCTACAAGAAGTAATTAGAGCGTTAAATAAATCAGCGTCAATTTTTATTTTTTTTAGAATATTTTATAATGTGTTGCACAAGCAAACTTCTGTTCTCGAGGGAAAAGAAATTTGCGAAAAATGTCAATTGGCGTCAGTTTAGCTCGTTATATATGTTCCTTAATTGCACAAGTTGTATGTAAAAAAAAAATTTAGTAGAGGAATTATTAATGTTAGTTACACCATAATAGTAATTTCTGAGTTATTCATCTTTTCTATCATCACTTTCATCTCCGTTATGAGTTATTCGTTCAGTGCGTGATTATAAAATTCGCATTTCGCCGACATTTCTTCTTCATGGATTTTATGCAGAAATGTTACGTCTAGAAACAGCATGTTTGCATATTTCCATTTATGCATGTATCTGTTTCCCACGTTGGGAAATTTACATACACTTAACATTTATGACGATACTTTCATTCGATCTAGCTTGTTATTCGTAAATTCCAAACATATTGGATAGGTGCTTTAATCCTGCAAAATTTGCAGAATTAAAAAATGTAAATGTCAAAAAAATTGTAAATGTCAAAAATTACACTTACTTAAGTTTCGCGCAGATGTACGAGTCCTGAAAAAGATTTATGAATTTCAATTCCACTGAGAATGATTGAAAAATATGTGATAAAAAAATGATGAAAGTTTTTCTAAAAGTTTTTCAATCTCGCGGAAAATTTCTCTATCTTTTCAAATTAAATGATTGTAAATGATAAATGTGTCATTTATTTATTACATTTGCCGTAATTTCTGTTGGAACGTGTATTTGCGCTATGTTTAGATGCGTAATATCTGTACGGATAATCATTAGC